CTAAACCCTATCTTTTACATATCCCACTCAAAAGTCCCTTCTTTATTGCGTAGGCTGGGGTGGTCGCTCGTTACGGAAGTCCTTCCAGAACCAGCAAGAAGAACGCTTTCTGCCAAAAATGTAGATCTGATAATAATATGCTTTCAAAGATAAAACATGCGTAAGTAGTGGGCTGACTTAGGCCAGCAGTCCCATTACCCACTGCAAATTTTAGTAGGAAGGAACCACTTGGCATGTAAGTACCTTACACCATATCATTGGAAAATAGAAACGGATACAAGGTCCACATGCATATTCAGGCCCTCATTTGCATAAATTAAAAATGGCTGCCACTGAAATATAATGAAAATGATAACTGGATATAACTTTTGACAGACAAATGGTAGAACATAAATTTTGGTGTTGTTTCATATACATATATATGGCTGACAAACTCAATAACACCATCAAAGTTATAATAAAAAGTCAAATTCACTCCTAATTTGCACAAATTAAAAATGGCCGCCACTGAAATATAATGAAAATGGTAACTGGGTATAACTTTGACAGACAAAATGTGGAACATTAATTTTGGTTTTGTTTCATATAAATATATGGCTGGCAAACTCAATGACACCATCGAAGTTATAATAAAAGGTCAAATTCACTCTTAACCAGCATAAATGAAAAATGGCCGCCACTGAAGTACAATGAAAATACGAACCGAATATAACTTTTGACAGAAGAATGATAGAAATATAAATGTGTTGTTTCATAGTAAGTTCTGGCTGACAAACTCAATGACACCCAAAGAATTATCATAAAAGGTCAAATTGACTCTTAATTTGCATACATTAAAAATGGCCGCCTTGAAAAATAAAAAAAACGACGCACAACCATAATTTTGGGAAGATGCTAGGACTACACATGTGGTTTTGTTTTTGTAATTTAAAATCCCTTCAGCAGACCAGGTTCACCCATATTTTGCCTATTCTTTCAATAACCAATGCGTTATGTTCACTGATATGTACACATTATATTCCTTGATTGAAACAAACTCCCCTGCATGCACAGAGAGTACTGCATTTCACCCCAGTTTTGCAGCATTTGCATGGAGGCTTTCACACTTTCTTGCACTGACATGTCACAAGGCATTTGTGGTTCTTTGTAATAGGGACAAGTGTTGTCCATCGAGGTAACCACTTGTCATTTGTCATGACCCATCCCCATTCATATGGGTCAGGCAAGGGTTGAAAACAGATGAGGGCTTGGCCCCAGATATGGCCTGCCTGATATGCTGCGCGTAATGTGTGTTGTACAATGCATCCTTTGTAGGTGGCAAGTTCTCAAAATGCCTACCATTGTAGTAGAACAATTCCATGCGTGCTGCATTGACTGATGTGATGTCCAAGGACCTGTCGTAAAGGCGAACGATGAATGCCTCTACATAGGACATGACATCATCATCGATTCTACTAGGGAATGTTGACAGGCGCTGAAGTGCTGCAGTGAGTTCTGCGAATTCCTGCCAAACAGCCCATTCTGTTCACTTGCTTTTTCCTTGAAATGCTGAGGGGGTGTCACAGCCGGTCAGAGAATGAAATACTAGAAGAGCTCGACACTTGGATGGTCCCAACTGCATAGCAATCTGGTGAACTGGGATATGTCTGTATGATTTGCCGGATCCAAAGGCTATCCAGAGCTCATCAAGGCTGAGATCTTGGAAACAGGACATAGCTATTGTCACCACATCACTGTCACTAGCACGAATGGTGATGTGTTTAAATCCTTCTCTACAACATTAAAAAATCCTTGAATCAGCTTCCTCGTGAATACAATGTGCTAAAGCGCGAGTACTTGAGTGAACAGGTGAAGTGAGAACATTCTCTCCGAAGGTTGTAACAACTTGCTTGCCCTCTGTGTACATCTCTTGCATTTTTCCTGCTAACAGAGAAAACAGTTCTGTTTTGTTCTCATCGACCCGTAAAAATCCTTGCCAGTTACTCGCTACTTTGGTTGATGATGTCACTCGACACCGCATGCCACTGCCACCTTCGAGGCACTTGAGAATTTCAGATTTAGTTCCTTTGTGCATCTGACCCTGGGAACTGAGAGATGGTGGTCATGTAGTGTTCTCATGTGCAAACATTTCTTCACCAATGTCCCTTCCTGAGTGCCCAGAGAGCATCATTTGAATAAGCTGGGTTCGTTCTTCCTTCATGGAAGCAAGGTCGGATTTTCCTATACGTTGTTGGGCTTTTACACCGAAAAGAGGCAATCTATTCAGGTGAAAGGTGGAGGTCCATGGGGATGTGCTGGATTAAACCCTTTCTGAAAAGAATGTATCATACTTGTCTTTTCCAATTTTTGTGATGTTTCTCACAGAGCTCATAACATCACCTGTCATGATTCTGGATCTGTCAAGAGAAATCAATTGCCCAGATACTTCAAGGAAAAGATTTCCCACATCAGAGAATGCACTGATTAGGCCATTCACATCTTCTCTGAAAGTCTCTCGACATTTAGGATACTGTTCATGGCGCTTCCTGTGACTGTTTTGAGGTGTGTTTTCGAATTCCTCAATGATGCGAGCAAGTACTGGTCCAGTAATCATAAATCTTTCAAGGGCTGCAGGATCCTCAGTCAGTCCAATTATTCCTCCATCACCTTTCAGAGAACCGATGAGCTGCTCATGAATTTGGTCCAAGGCAATGCTAGAAAATGCACGACTTGTCTTCTGTCCAACGAATTTTCCCTTCATGAACTCTTTATGAACTGTTAGATGTATTTCTCGAAGTCCACACATATCTCGTAGATGAATGGGTAGATTGCGGAAAAAGTGTATGTGATCAGAGCATACATCCATGGCATGATATGTTCTAAAGTCACTAAGTACCGATCAAACGCTGCAGTCCGAATCAACTTCACAAACTGCAGAACCATCACCTGCAGCTCAAGAGTCTGGTGCCAGTACAAGAATTGCGGTTCTCGGTGTCGCTGATACCTAATCCAAGCATCCAGTTCCAATGGCTCACCTTCAATAGTTGTTGTCAGGTATTCACGATGGGCTTGTCTGAGTAAACTATACAACAGCTGTGACTTGGTGCATGCAGCGAGTGCGGGTCAGATGTGTCACCTATATCATAGAATCAGCAAGTCCACTTGAAGTCACACCACTGACTGACAGAAGTGATGTCCATCCACTCCCTTCCAGCCACTCCCCTAGGCCCTTCAAACAGCATTTTCTCAGTGTGCAGCGCCCCAAGAATCACCACAAACTTGTCCTCTCCCAAGACATCTGAAAATTTCCTCAGAATCTTCTTTGCCAATGTAAAGAGAGGCTGATTAGAAACCATGACCGGGGTCTGTCCTGGATTCAATTGCTTTGTAACAGCAGCAACACTGTTCATCCCATGGAATACCATCATAGGACTGTGAGCTGATTCCCTAAAAAGGGAAAGCATCATCAATGGGGTGACTTGTGAAAGCGGAGGTCCAAGCTGGTCAATTTGAAATATGCAAAATATATATACTTCATAATCACATCATGTGACTAACATATTGAATAATTAAAAAACCGGACCTTCTACATCCAAAATTTTTATTTCAATGGTTAAGGCATCCACAAAAACATATATTTTGACACCATTTTCATGAAAATCAAAGATGTGTATGATAATTTAGAGTTGTTTTTATTTTGCTTGATTTTTCAATGCCGGCCACTTTTAATTTATGCAAATTAGAGTGAAATTATGCAGATAGAGCTTGTGTCCGTTTATCAAAATTCTAAGTTTTGTTCAAGGTACTTGTGTGCCAAGTGGCATGTTCCTACTAAAATTTGCCATGGGGGTGGAGTTAGGGAGCCCACTAAAGGTGTTTATTTTACTTTCTATAATTTTAAATTACTATTTTTTTAAATAGAAGATCCAAAAATTATATTAAATGTAATAGCTTGGTTGGACGCTAACAATTTTAGTGTATACATGTATATTATTTATAAGAAAACATTTGATAAAAGCAACTTCAGACTTATTCGTTGTAAAGATTTAAATCTAAATTCTAGTTCGCTCGCGACGATCGACATGATTTCTTGTAGACTCCCTACCGAAGGTGGTATTTTGTTCAGTTTTTATAGATCTAGATGTTCTTGGAAAACATTCCTTGTTCTTCCTACTCTTAGTGCGCAAGATACGCGCCACTCCTTAAGATAGTTTCAAACAGAAAAATCAACAAATATACGCTGTCACTCAGTTATATTTCGGAAGTTTCTTTTATAAGTACCTCAAATGTTTCAGTAAATCATCTTGTAGTACAGTATCTTTGACCCAGTTCCGCAATAAGATCAGAATAAGATGAGTATTGAGAGTACACGCAAAAAGGCTGCTCATGGAAACCGTCAAAACCAAATCGTACATATAGATCTAATTCTATAACTCTCTTTAGAGGAAAACATGTCACCGTGTTCAATTCCATTGTTAGATACATTTACACATCCTGGGTGGAGAATTTTCTTCTTTTTTTTTTTTTAAAGCGATCATCTCCGTTGGTCTCGTGGGACGCTGTATCTCGCCCAGCCAGGGTTGGCCCAAGCAGGCGAGTCAGAGCAACCGGCTCCTATATGATCTATTAGTCTTGATAGGGGTGAAACGTCTACCATTAATTCTTTTTTAAATGCGTTATGAAAGTACATGCGTATGCATGTGTTTGTGTGTGTATGTCGTATGCTTGTGTTTGTGTGTGTGTGTATGTAAGTGTTTGTTTGTGTGTGTGTGTGTGTGTGTGTGTGTGTGTGTGTGTGTGTGTGTGTGTGTGTTTGTATGTTGTGTATGTGTGTAACGTGTATGTCGTTGTGTGCAAAGCGAGTATTTTTGTAGTTGTTGTTATCGTGTATATAACTCAATGAGATTGTGTAAAAACAAAAAGAAACATGTGTTTCAAAAGACATAATTATCGATCCCAGTGAACAGGAAATATCATGGAAAGCGAACAAACGAAAGACCAACAACAAGGCCAAGATGAGGAGCAGAAGGAGTCCACCACTCATTCAAAGAACGCGCCTCCCGAGATGTCCAAAGACGCCCCCAATCGTCGGCAGAACAAGAACCCTGTGGACCAAAGTCACGAGACGCTGATGTCTCCAGAGCCGAAGGACTTGGCAGAGATTGCCCCCGAGCTCAGAGAAAAGTTGAAGCTAGGTAAAAATAAGTTTAGTTTAGTTTTAGTAGAGGTTTTACGGCGCTCGCAACTGCATAAGGTCATATGAACGCCTGAAGATTAGAGGTGTTACAAGAGAGTAACAAACATAAAAAAGAAGAAGGGGAGATAAGGACGATAGATGTTTGATAGGAAAGAAGAAGCAAACCACACCAGAGCACCCTCCAACCACCCAAAAAAGATAAGTAATGAGATTTTTTTTTAATTGCCAGTTGAAACCGTCAAAACTAAATTATATTTCTAGAACGTTCTTTAAAAGCCAACACTTGTCCATGCTCAATTCCATTGTTATATTATCTGTACCTCCCAGGTGGAGAGATTTTTCCTTTTTTTCATGGAGTGTCTCCACGAGTTTGCTGGGACGTTGTATCTCTCTCATCCAGGGTCGGACTTTTTGCATGAAATCTAAATTAGGCTGATTTATTAGATTTTTATTTTGCTTTAGCTACGGTACATTGTATTCTTCACGCTCTGAGAAAAAATGTATTCCTTGTGTATATTCGTAGACAATAAGAGCTCGAATTTTTTTGGCGGTGGAATGGTATTTAAGGTGTTTGCTTTTATTGTTGGTTTTTTAAAAAAGTCTAGAGCACTCGGTCAGACAAATCAGAGTCGGACCACATGCTGACGTCTGCTTTACACCTAGCCAGTATGATGGCCTTAGCCCCTGTCAACACCATAAAGTCATTTACTGTCATCTAATGGTCTATTTTTCTGATTTAGCTACAGAGTTAGCGCCTCTAATAAATAGATTTTAAAAAACCAAAGCGATCAATCGATCAATCAATCAATCAATCAAGCACGTAAGCATTCACGCAGTTAATCAATCAATGCTATTCGTTAAAGTCACTTAAAGTGTGCTCAGTTTGAAGTTCTCTATACTTTTATAACGATTAAAACTGTAGGGGATGTTGATCGAGGCGACTTTCCAAGCATATTTTCTGCTTATAAAAAGTTGTTTTTGTCCCAGTGAGCAACATGCTAGTAGAGACCGATAAGGGCAAAGAGTTGCAGGTGGTACAATCAAATGGATTCCGATACAAAAACAATGTCTTTTAAAATACAAAGAACTATCTCTGTTATTGCACTTCAGACCAACGTCAGGGGTGTAGCGGTTAGGCGGTTCACCGTCCCTCGCAGAAGACATGAGTTTGATTTCCGCATGGGGAGTATTTTTATCGAGTATCTCCACCTTTCTGCTGAGACCACATTGCATACTTCTTAGCCAAGATTGACCTTTACAAGCAGAGTCGAAGTGGCCTGTCCCCTGAATAATCTGTCTATTGTCGAAGGGAGTGTAAAACGTCTACAATTACATTTTACACTTCAGTTTCACCCGACTTAAAAAAGCCAGCGGCCTCCAGGTCATCAGGCCACGGTTCAGTGTCCAGTGGAGAAGATGACAACCACCGGACCCAGGCTGGAGGTCAAGGATGGGACAACGGAGAGGACTACGATGACAGTGGCGCCCACACTCATGGGACAACCTTTCGCGCCAGTCGCGACGACGACCCTGGGGAGAAAACAATGGTAAAATTCCTCACATACGTCTCGGGCATTCCAATCCCATCCTTCTAGAGTAATAGAGATTTTGTCACAAGGTAATTAATTCAATATAGTATCAGTGGGTGATTCGTTCTTAGTTTTCAGGGAGAGTGTCATATTCAGTTCCGAGGAAATATTATGTCTGAAGGGAACTGAAAGTCCTACTTATTGAACTTATTATAATTCTAAGAAGAAGAAGAAGAAGAAGAAGAAGAAGAAGAAGAAGAAGAAGAAGAAGAAGAAGAAGAAGAAGAAGAAGAAGAAGAAGAAGAAGAAGAAGAAGAAGAAGAAGAAAGAAGAAGAAGAAGAAGAAGAAGAAGAAGAAGAAGAAGAAGAAGAAGAAGAAGAAGAAGAAGATCTGTGTACAGATCTCTTGCAGTCACTCATTGGTACCACTTTGCCTTTTGAAAACTATTATCTGAGGAAAAGCCTGGAGAAAGACCAAAATCGGTTTGAAAGCATGTTTCAAAATTCCTGGTCATTGTGTTGTGGGTGATCAATGTTTGAAACAATCAGTTGAGACGCACAACATGGTTACTACTGACTCAAAATCACGATAAAAAATTTGTGACGCGTCCCGTCGGTTGATTCTATTTTACAAGAATTAAGTCAATGGCCAATAAATACTCCCCCCCCCCCCATCCAACCATCCCCCTGTCCCCCTTTTATCCACAACCTGACTACGCCGAGACCTATTCTACCACGGTTTTGTTTACACCAATTACATCCTCGAACCGACAACGACTGTCCTTGACACCCCAGGGAGCATTACTATCCACGTCCATTATTACGATCTTATTAGCCAGACTAGATCTGCTATTTTTTTTATTTGTTGATTACTAAAATATTTATACAGGTGGGTGGGCAGTCCTCAATTAATGTTGAACATGAAAGCGTTATCTCTCTAGCGGCCTTACACTTTATAGCCATAATGTGTCATCATCACCACCATGAATCCCATATTTATCACGATCATAAATTCCCCATGCATATTGTATGTGATATTAGTTTGAAATAAACAAAACCAAAAAATAAACAGAAAGGAAAAAAAGTATAAAACCCGAAACAGTAAACCAACCCGATTAGACCATAATGAAGGGTGCCTTTTTTACTAGGCCTATTCTGTAAAAAAGAAAAGGTAATGAAAACATGAATGAATGTTACTCGACACATTTTTGGGGGGTGGGGATGAGGGGGAAGTTGGTCGCTTATAATATGTACCCTGGGTAAAACGTTCAAATTCTTGGGTCCGAAGAGAATACGTTATATCGAGGTTTTATTGAAAATTACTTTTTTTTTATTAAAAAAAATAAAATATGATGTCCGTTTCGCGTCTTATGCATGGTACAGCTTTGATTGGGCGGTAGACTCAGAGAAAGCCGATTGCTCAAGTGCTCTTTCCCTCCTTTCTTATCTTGATTTCCTTGATATGATCCAAAGCAAAAAAACAAAACATCGTCAGTGCATAATATTATCTTTCTGTCTCTCTCAAGAGTGAGGCATACAAAGAACCGAGTATTTCATACCATCATACCGTCCGGTCGCCACATCCTCCGCAGCAACTCACGGGTAAGACTGCCCAAGGTATAACAGCAGCAGCATCAGCAGCAAGAGAAGAAACTGGCGCCAAATGCGCCGGAAAGGGAGATGGTACAAAGGCTATGTCGTTGGAGTCTGGAGCTCGGGCTAAAAAAGGGAAAAAGAAAGCGTTGAGATTTGGTCGACAGCCACAGCCCAAGTTCACCAGCTGGGACGTGGGTCGTCTGGGCGAGCACTCCATGGACCATCTGCCCACGTACATCGAAAGAGTGCCGCAGGTAAAGATTGATAGCATTTTGCGTCTTGACAGACGATCTTTACAGGTTGACTGTAACTGTAATGAGTTTTAACAAAATAGGTACACTTGAATCTGCTCAAATGGCCACTTGGATAAGACAATTACCTGTTCAAATATCCACTATTCACTTCCTCCCTTGAGCAGATTTTTTTTTTACTATAATGACACCATGTAAGACGGCCACCTGTCTACTACGGCCACTGTATCATCGACAATCTATGACCGTCTTAGACAATTTCGAATGTATTTTGAAGACCTCATCAACACAAATTAGATAATTCAGAAAGCGTGTTTCGACCCTGCCTGTCAGGGCCAACCCTAGCTGGAAGTGATACAACGTCCTACAACCAAGACCAAGACACCGGACAACAGAGTTTTCGTCGATTTTCTTCATTCCGACAAATTTGACGTCTTCTTGCTTATAATAATTTTTTTTAGTTTAATATTGTGTAGAGTTTGGTGCGAAGATTACTGAGGTATTGCCGTTTAAATCGTTTGTTTTTTCAAACACATTGAGCTTCTAAGGGGCGTGACCTTTTCTAATATAAATGTTATGTTGTCATCGATCCAGATCAAAGAGTACATTGACCAAAATATTTTGAAGAAGCCAGAAATATTTCGGCAGCCGTTGAGTTCTGATGTTTGTAGTTCTGATTGTGCTGTGAAGGAGTACCTTGAGAAGCACGGCATTTGTCAGCTTTTTAGGGTGAGTTGGATATATCTAGCTACTGATTGGATGTTTGTGTGTGTTTGTGTGAGCGTGTGAGCGTGTGTGTATGTGTGTGTGTGTGTGTGTGTGTGTGTGTGTGTGTTTGTGCGTGTGTGTTAGTGCTAGCATGCCTACGTGCAACTCTCTCTCTTTCTCTCTCTCTCTCTCTCTCTCTCTCTCTCTTTCTCTCTCTCTTTCTGTCTGTCTGTCTATCTGTCTGTCTGTCTGTCTCTCTCTCTCTCTCTCTTTCTCTCTCTCTTTCTCTCTCTCTTTCTCTCTCTCTGTCTGAATGTGAGTGTGTGTGTGTGTGTGTGTGTGTGTGTGTGTGTGTTTGTTTGTGCGTGTGTCAGAGAGAGAGAGAGAGGCAAAGAGACAGAGAGACAGAGAGAGAGAGAGAGAGAAAATGTGAGTTGTTATAGTGTATATAAGTCATTTACTGTCATCTAATGGTCTATTTTTCTGATTTAGC